AGGGTCGCGCCTACATCAATAGTCTCATCACCGAGTGATTGCTGGCCTGTGGCGTATGACCTCGCACGGATATCACCAACGAGGAGGATGGGAAGATATTGAGCACTATCGGATGGACTTGTACAGCCCGCTGTGCTCTCCGCTGTGCCACGGCGTATGATGGGCTGCGAGAGCGGTATCTTCCCTCCTTGACGCAGAGGCGCCGCGAGGCCCGAGAGGCGTAGAAGAGAGGCTGGCGTGCCCCGCACCGCCCGGTTGGCAGTAGGAGGCCCCGCCGGTGAGACCACTGATTTTGATGCCGACCATAAATTTTGGCAATTGGAACGCATGCTACTTACAGCTGCTGTCTGTACACAGAGATGCCAGCCCCCCCCACAGGCAGAGCGCTGCTGCTGGGGGGGGGGTCCCGACCCCCCCAGCAGCAGAGCGCTGCTGCTGGGGGGGGGGGTCCGACCCCCCCAGCAGCAGAGCGTGCTGCTGGGGGGGGGGGTCGGCCATGGGCTTAGGTGTGCAGGGGGGGTACCGAGCAGTGTGCGGCCGCTCAAATCCTCTCTAGCTAGAGTAGCGCGTAGAGCCGTAGCGCATTGATTCAGCCGCTTAGCACATTTTCACTCCCAGGGTGAACACATCTAGAGCACGTCTGGCGGCCCTCTCTATAGCCTAGTACACAAGCACGCACCATAAAGCACGCGGCTGTAGACGCCGAGCAGTTGTACAGATCACTCTATGTCGCGCGGCCGCACGCACTGCTCGCGGCGCGCGCCGACCCGCGCACACACAACAGCGCCATTGCAATACTAGCAGCTCTTGCCGCTCGCTCGCCGGAGGGCCGGCCGAGAGGCTGCGGCGAGCACGACGGGCAGCGCCAGCGCCCCGAGCGCCGCACAGAGCGCCGCCGGAGAGATCGGGAGAGATCGGGAGAGAACGGGAGATGGGGCTGGAGGTGCGCGCGGTGACGCCTCGTCGGCCTCGCGCGGCGTCGCGGCCGCGAGCGGGCGCTGCTGCGGCCTCCGAAGCGCCGCCTCCCCCGGCAGCACAGCCGCCGGCAGCAGGGCGTGCAGCAGGACGCCGCAGCCGGTGATGAGCAGCGCGGAGATCGCGAGCGACTCGAG